TCCCCCAAAATCGAGAAATTGTTCCACTTACAGCAGAAATCCTTTACCCCACACAAAGTCAAGCAGAAACGCTTTTTATAGCGAAACACAATCCTCCACTAAATCTTTTCGATTAGAAGCGCATTAGCCATATCTGTCCTTACAAGGAGAAATGTATAAGATATAAGGAGAAATCGATCAGATTATTCTTACATTATAAGGAGAAATGAATAAAAGTATTTTTCCACTATAAGGAGAAATTCTACTAGAAATGGATTTTCTCCAGCAGAAATGTAAATGTTTCTAGGAGAAATGAATGAACCGTTTCGCTCCGTTCCAGCAGAAGTGTATGATAGACAAGGAGATATGAAAAATATATGTAGAAGAACAATGAGTCATCGATGCATATGTATAGTGCTTTTCCTTTTCTCCTTGTTATGTATGACCTTTTATAGGGTAAAGCATTTCTCCCTGAAGTGGAACAATTTCCCGATCGATTGGTACTGTTGTCCACTGCTGAGTTTTTAAGATTTTCCTCAGTTGTTTTGTTTGATATTAGATTAATTTCAACCTACCATCACTACTTCTTTTCATATGAGCTACCTCATAGCTTCCTACAGCTACTCAGGGGTATGTACTTGAAGCTCCTGAAAGTCTACCATACGACTGAATCAATAGGTCCTCAAGAGCTATCGTACGGAAGTACCCATCAGTCCGCATGGCCTATCCTACGGGGTACCCATAATTTCTGATCACCCGTCGTATGGGGTACCCATAAATTCCCATGACCTATCCTATAGTGGTACGAATAAGTCTGTATGGTCTATCTTATGGTGGTGCCCGTAAGTCCTAATCTCCTATCCTATGGAGTACCCATAAGTCCTCATGGTCTATCCTATACGGAAATTCATAAGTCCTCATGGCTTATTCTATAGGGAACCCATAAATCCTTATGGTCTATCCTATAATCTACCAACGACAAAACGCTTGAGAATCGTATTTTTGATCTGAAACATCGAGATTACCATCAAAAAAAATTTCTTGGATATATTCGGATAGTGCATCTTTAGCTATACAGAATACTAATAAAAAGTTAATACAAAGATACAACATGTAAGTATATTGTTTGAATCTTTTTGAGACATGATCGAACAACTTTTGATGACAAGTTACTACAGAGTGAATAAAGATATTTTTCCAGAGGATAACGCTATGATTTTAAATAGAGTCAATAGCAAATTTTATAGCAAATGGAAGCGCAACAAAAATGGGATTTATCAGTATTAAATGGTAAGGGTTCTGTCAATCTTTTTATATCAAACATCTTTAATTTCTAGAAATTTGTTATATTTTATATAAAAAGATTGACGGAATCGTTACCATCTAATACTGATTAATCTCATTTTTGATGCGCTTTCATTTAATACAATATTTATCATTGACCGTATTTAAAATCACAGCCCTAGTCCGATAAAAAGCCATTTTAATGCACCCTGTTTGTAGAGATTCGATACGTTTGAGATAAGAAGTTTTGTAGAATCCTTACTTTTTAATACTGATAAATCCCATTTTTGATGTGCTTCCATTTGATATAAAATTTGCTATTGACTCTATTTAAAATCATAGCGTTATTCTCTGAACAAATATTTTTATTCACTCTGTAGCAACTTGTCATCAAAAGTTGTTCGATCATCTATCAAAAAGACTCAAACAGTATATTCGCATGTTGTATCTTCATATTAACCTTTTATTAGTATTTTGAACAGCTAAACTTGTACTATTCGAATATATCCAAGAAATTTTTTTTTGATTGTATTCTCGATGTTTTAGATTAAAACTACGATTCTCAAGCATTTTGTCGTTGGTAGAATGGTACCAATAAGTCTGTATGGCCTATCCTATAGAGGAACCCATAAGTCCTCATGTTTTATCCTATAATGATACCCGTAAGTCCTCATGACCTATCCTATAGTGGTACCCATTAGTCCCCATGGCCAATTGATGTTTAGTATAGTTAACTTTTCAAACACTGCCTTACGGTAGTTCTGTTTCCTCTTCAAGGACTCTTCCGTGGAGGAATGTTGGGTATCGCTAACTATTCAAGAAATATCTAGCATTACTCGTCGTAGGTTTTCAAGAGCTTTTAGGCACAGGGCGCGTAACTGTTATACGGACGCCACTCGTCCATCATCCATTAACTGGATTTTAATGTAGTATGAAATACTGGTTTAAGGGTCACGTAACAATCGTGTATTTGATTTTTCCGTTAAGAAGTAAAAGTGGACTCTTCTTTTCAGCTCGACGTAATTGAGGAAAGGTATGAAGTGGTTTTACTTCATAATTAGTATTATTTCCAGGCCATTGCGTTTGACAAATTGGGCTCAACTTTGAATTCCTCTTTAATCACATATAGATTGAACCCCAGGTGCATCACAACTCCAGTTCCACAGCTCGCAAGAGCTCAGTCGAAGAGCTGGTAATCAGCATCAGCTCAGCGAACTGAACAGAAGCTGTCACAAATCTACTTATAGGTATCCTATAGAACAGCTTTGAGGACTTATGAGTACGTCCATAGGATAGGCGATAATGACTTATGAGTACGTCTATAAGATGTGTGTTGAAGACTTATGAATACCCGCATAGGATAGCCCTTGAGGACTTATTGTATTTCCGTAGGACAGGTCATAAGGACTTATGGGTACCCGTCATAGGATAGGCCTTAAGGACTTGTGGATATTCTATAGGATAGGCGATCATGACTTATGAGTACACTCATAGGATTTCCCTAGAGCACTGATGGGTAACCCATAATATAGGCTTTGAGGATTTATGTGTACCTCCATAGGATATGTCTTGTGGAGTTATGGGTACCCCATATGATAGGCGATGATAACTTATGAATACTCTCATAGGATAGGCATTGAGGACTTATGGCACTTCCATAGAATTCGTCATTAGAACTTATGGTTTCCTATAGGATGCATCGTTTTCCCGGGATTCCCATCGTGCTGCTTGAGTTTTAAGGATTCCCATTGTGCTTATAGGGATGTGGAATCTTGTGAATTCATCTCCTAGTCGAAAATCTCCTTACGAATCCCCAGGGAGTCCCCCAGAAAAATCTCCGGGGACTCACGACATGAAGATCCCGGAGATTTACGAGGTAGTCAAGAACTCCCCGGGGATTTACGTGGGAGTCCCTGGGGATTTGCTAAGGAGTTCCTGGTGATTTGTCAGGGACTCCCCAGAAATATACCATGAGACTTACGACGACTGTAAACGATCGTACCAACGTTCTTATCATAATATCCACCCCTAATGAAATCTCATTATAAAGTCCCCCTCGAAGTCCCCGGAGAATCATGACAGGAACTCCTCCAGGGACTGAGGGGGAGTGGGAGACTCCCCAGGGATCCATTTGGGGACTCCCTAGGGATCCATTTGGGGACTCCCTAGGGATCCATTTGGGGACTCCCTAGGGATCCATTTGGGGACTCCCCAGGGATCCATTTGGGGACTCTCGACTAGGGACCTTTTCCCCTATGTGTAGCAGCCTTTAAAACTGGTTATCTATGTTCGACGCACTTGAAAATATGATCAGAGTATATTGTTGAAGACTACTTTAGATTTTGATTTTTTGGGATTTCTGAGATTTTTTGGATTTTTTCGGATTTAAAATCCAAAAAAATCCGCTTTTTCCCCCTTGAGAAATATAAATGTAGTAAGAAACTCTTTTTTAGATTATCAACTAATAATTCTATGAAAGAAAATGAAAATGAGGGTTTAGATGTAAATGTGGGTGTGGATGTTGGCCCTTGAAGAGAGCATTAGGACCCATACACGCATTCACACCTCAGTCCAATCACACTCACATACCCACACCCACACCCACACCCCCTAGTTCAGCATCATCAGTGGAAGCAGGGCTCACAAGTCTAGTTTCGTACTTCGACACTGTCTTTTTTGTTTTTGTTCCATAAAAACTAAGTATCACGTTTTATTTTGAACAGAAAGATTTAAACAACGAAATTACTCAATCGGTAATGTTTGAACTGTACTGCCTTTGTTTTTTATTTCAGTAATAAGTTTATATCCACTTATGATTAATATACTTGTTATCACCAGAATTGAACCAATTATTGACAAAAAATTCGATTTAATTGATGAAAATATATTTTGCAAGAGAATAGAAAATAAAATGTCACTTGATTGAACAATTGTAAATATTGATGGATGTTCACGTTTCACTGATTTTTGTATAAATATTGATGAAATTATTTGTAATAAACAAACTAATGAAGCACAGAGATATTTCCAATTAAGAAAATCTTGTTTTAAAGATTGAATTTTATCGGCATGAAAATAATATTCATAAAATAAATAAATAACTATGATGCATAATGATAGAAATGTAAATTGGAACATTATTATACTATACTTTGTTTTATATTTTGATAATAAATATTTATTTGATATTATCATTAGGGCCAACGCTATAGAAGAATATAATGCAATAAATAAACCTACTAAATGTTGTTGATGATAATTTCCAATGTTATTTTTTGTTATATTAAATATTCCTTCAAATAAAAACTTCGGTTGAGCGACAAATATAACACCAATGATCGTTAATAAAACTGATAATATTATTGGTATAGACGGCTTTTCACAATATATAACTGCTACTATAACTATTGTCCACATAATTTGTGTATAGCGTATTGTTGTTAAATCTGGTAATGGTAAATAACGTGAACCAAAAAAGAATGCAAAATAACCAGTTGTGGAAAAAGTAGTCGTCATTAATAAAAGAAATGTTTCTCGCCTTTTTGATTGTATAAATAATGAATAATGTTTTATTAATTTTATATAGATAATCAACATAACTGTTTGAAGAAGAAAACGAGGGACTAATGCATGAAGTAGCTCTATGTTTAATTGATTTGTTATAAATATCGAACTTGTGTAAAAGAAAGCCGCTAATAATGCATAAAGTATTCCTTGAAAACGCTGTACTATTGATGGTGATACTTCAACAGGTTTGTTGTTGTTTATTTTAATTGTTTCTTCTAATAGTGAATCGATGAACTGTTCTTTGTTATCATTATCTTTCATTTCGATTGTAATCGAATTTTCAATGATATCCAATTGAATAGATGAACTAAAAATAACATGTAACAATTGAGTAAAATCTAACGTTACTTTCTGAAGTTGAGCTTCTTCTATTACTTATAATAAAGATGTAGTTCGTCGAGGAAATTTCGTCACTGCTATTCGAGACATCTCTAACTCATATAATCGGTATGAATTTGAACGATGCGTAATACAAGCTGTCAACTTTACGAATGTTAGGAAAATTGATCTCATTTTTACTTCTGAAAATAAATTTTCATTACCTGGCCAACTTTTTCAATACTCTTACATATCCAGGGACTTCGAATACTCCACACTGAAGAAAATGACCTCAGCTAAATGCAGAAAAATCACTTAAACACTTGAATCTAATTTGTTTTCATATAATTTTGTACTAGTTCATTTTTCGATTATTTATTAGATGAGAATATGCTAATTTCGATCATTGATCGAAAGAGGACTACCATGAAACGGTATGATGGAGACTCGACCTTACTGAGATTGGACAGATCTCAAAATCTGACCTGCTTAAGTTTTCAGAGCGAAAATAATGAAATCGAAAAAGTTGAAAAAATGATCATAATTTGCTTTTACAGGAAAAAAAAGTGAAAAATGTGCAGCATATTAGATTCGAACCATGTTTTTAGAATGTGTTGCAAGGTATGACACATGCAACACATTTTCTTGTAGTGTGTGGAAGAGTATTGAGAGATGTGGAAAATGCCAAACAATCTAGTAACATACAACTCGATTACAACCAGTGTATCCATAATATTTTTGCATCTCTGCGCATGTCCTTTCAATTGGGACAAGAAAGGAAATACGAACACACACGAAAATACAGTCACATCTCATGACTATGATGAACTTGGAGATAGAGCATCTCTTCAGGAGATACACGACTGTTAGGTATACATTTTTGTACCATGGATTCATCTCTTAATAGGTAGTCCAGCATCTTCTCACACTTCTCCAATATTCTTAATTTCCTGAATATACGACACCTCTCAACTACTTGAATAAAAGTATGGGGAACATACAAGATTTTATGACACTATCTTTTCTCAATAGCGAATGTCCTACATATGTTTATGCAACTATATTTTGTTAGAATGTGTCAACATACAGCAGTTTGGTTACCTTTGGTTAGCCATTAGCATTATCACGATGACAACATATAAGGCAAAAAAGAGATAATGATTTTCACTCTTTTTTTGTGTTGAATGAGCGGCAAGAGTAAACACGTGGTTGTGGAGTTTTTTCTTCTTTCTTTCTCTTTAGATAAGGACTTCCATGTCAGTAGAATACGCTACCAACTAGTGTACTGCAAACTCGTCAAGTACCCGACATTTTATCTGCTTCGAAGCTTAAGCCTTGACATAGATTTGTCAGACAGGCTCGGATGTTCGATTAAATAAACATCAGCTCGGGTTTGTTAATCAAGTCATGCCTGAGCATGACTCAGCAATTAGTAATATCTTTAAAGAAAACGCTCGAAATGGTTGAAGTGGGCGAACAATTATTATCGTACGCCGTCAGAGCAAACGAAATATAGACAGCATAGTGTAATACTATCAAGCAATGCACTTGTATGCACCAGCTGGAGTGTCGACAGAAACCCAAGTCCCCTTGAATCATAGTCAATGCAAAAAATTGTTCTCTTTAGTACTGTACAAAAGATTTTGACTCAAAAAGTGTCACGCACATATAAATAGTGCTATTTATTGCCATGATTAATATGTTTTCTCAGTGACACGTCATATACAGTACGCGTCAATTCATTTTGGGCGTCAGTGTAGGTGTGGCTTGGGAATAGGATGTGGGTGTTATTTTAGGAGACAATCAACCCGTACCCACACCCACATCCTCATTTTTGCATTATGAGCATGCTTTAACTCGAATATTATATCAAATAATTCAGTAGACCAATCGTAGCTTCCATGGCGCACTGAATACTAATTTTAGACTAAGAAATGAAGACTTAAAGTTATTTCGATTGTCAAGATGAGTCATGTCATTCTTATTTATCAACCGTATCTAAATTCTAATTTATGCATCTTCATATGTGCAAGTCTGCATTCTTGAAAAGTTTACTGATCTTTTGTCTGGCAAAGTCAATATTGTCAAAATGATCCTTCGTGATATGAAGAAAGTGCAGATTGTTCTATCTGAGAATGAATTAAACTAAATCTTTTGACTTCTCCAAATCGTCATGTTTGATTCTCCTTATATATATTATTATTTTCAGCAAATCACAAAATTTATTAATTGGAATTATTTTGCTTTATCTACACGTTATCGAGCTACACGTCTCACCATTAAAGAAAAAGCATATGGAAGAGATATCAACTTCTAAATACATTCGTCTGCTCGTATTCATATATAGACTGTTACAATACACTTCTAAAAAGAAAAAAAAAGAAATCTTGTGAGGTACTCAGAGATTGTTTCACGAAGCAGTTTAGAAACCAGGAGAGACAGATTACATCTGAGTGAAGTCAGTGTGTAGGAGCTTGTAATTATCAGTCATTCATTCTTGAATCAGCATTGTCTACTTGTGTATATTTTGTTGAAACAACAAAGATATTGAAAAATAACCAATAACTTTGCTCAAAGTCACCTTTCAATTCAATTTTCAATTATACATTTCACTTTCACTATCGATTCCTCAGTTGATTTTTGGCGTTTTCATTCTGATTGAAATCAAAAAAACTATAACAAAAGGAAACAAAAGGTTTTCTACTGTAAATCAGTAGTTATAAATCTTTTCTTTGCTTTTCTATTTTTCTCAAATAAAATGATTGTTGTATATCTAGAAAAGACTTTTTAATATCATTTAGGGTGTGGGTGGGGTGTGGGTATGGGGTGTGGGTGTGGGTGGGTGTGGGTGGGTTTGGGTATGGCTGTGGCTGTGGGTGGGTGTGACTGTGGATGTGGATGTCAGAACTTGTTCCATTTACACCTATACCCACAGCCACACTCATAGCCACGCCTACACCTACACACCCACACGCACACCCACACACACCCACACGCACACCCTTTTCTAGTATCTTTGTCACCTTTACTTTTCATCAAAACTTACTCGTAATCCCTATCTTCTTCAGGACTGGAGGGTAGGAAACAAGAAGTTTTTACTGTTCGAACATGTTTTGATTTGTATTTTACTATTATTTTACAATTTTAGAATGTTTTTGCTATTATTAAAAACCGATTCTTTGACAAACTTATTTTTGTACCTGACAATTCTGAAGGTTATTTCTGATCTATACTTTTCTATGAAAAATGTACATGTCCAAACTCCTTGTAAATCATGTCTCTTTTTTCGTGCTACTTCGATTTAATTGTCATGAGTGGGTGTGTCGGTAGTTTTCTATTTATAAATCTACACCCACATCCTATACGTTGTTCCACTTTTTATACTAATAATCAGGATTCATTTCGTAAATTATAACAAAATAAATTCAAAAGCCTAACATAGAAAAACAGAAGGATAAATTTTCATGACTACAATAAAATAAATACCAAATATGAAACTATATGTTGAATTTTAATAAAGAATTATTTTGTTAAGGGTGTGGGTCAATGACTTCATAGGCAAAATTAACATTGTAGAATGACTTCTTGGATATTAGCGACACGTATCGGATAACGTGGATGTTGATTGCAAAAGCAATTGACGGAATATGATCACTCTAGTGGATGTTTTGTATGGTATGTTGTGTAAAGAAATTGAAGAAAATGAAAGCACAAGTTATTACAAAATTACTTGCTTGCCAAGGTAAATATGACTCATTCAAAAAGCTAAAAAAATCATCACGTGCTGCATGCACAATATAGAACACCATTGACAACTATTCAAAAAAAATGTTTATATATTATAAAGGTTCTTACTGATGTGGTTGTGGTGAGTAGTTTTATCAGAATAATGTGAAACGTAGAAATAAAAGGTTTAAAAAAATTATTTTCTGTTTTTATTTTTCATACGCATGAAGGAATAATGTGGGAAACATATTATTAAAAGAAAAGCTAATGATAGATAGCTAGGATTTCGAATGTTTTCAAAAATTTTTGATAAAACACAATCTTCCACTTAATCGAAAAAAACGATTAGTTATGATGAGTGTACTAACATCACTTCCTTTTGTTCATCATTTTTTTGTCTTTCAGATTTATTAATTATAGTATATCTAACTAATAGGTACTCATTTTTTCTATTGAAAAATCAATAAAATTTCCAAATGGTAAAGTTATTAAACAAAAATAAAAACTTCAATTTATTAGTTTTGTTCATAGGTGAACATGACGAGTGAGGAAGTTCATGGTATGATGAACAAAACAAGAAATATTCGAAATATAGCCATCCTCGCTCAGACGAATGATGAAGAATCAACATTAATTAATTTGCTTGTGAACAAAGCTGGTATTATTATTTCGTAGAAAACTGATGAAATGCATTTGACTGTTAGTGAAACAAATGAACTCGAACAACCTACTCTAATTAAACCAGGGTAATTTGAAAATACCAAACGTTTGTTTAATATTTTTTTTTCATGGACAAATTTCATATTTAGAGTCGTTTCAGTTTATTATGAATTACCCGCTAAATATTTAGAATTCTTTAATCACGAACCTGAACTCGATTCATCTCAATTTTTAATTAATCTTATTGATTCAACGATTCATAGTAATGCTTCATCAATATCCGCTTCTTGTTTGTCGTTTGTCGATGGTATTCTCATCGTTATCGATTGTATTTCAGGCAAAAAGCAATACTTATACTTTGTTTTATTAGAAATACTAGTTTTTGATTCCTAGATGTCTGCTTAGTGACTGAAACAATTCTTCGTCAAGCTATTCATCAGCGTATAAAATCAATTTTATTTTTTAATAACATGGATCGTGCTTTGCTTGATTTAAAATATGAACCTGAAGATCTTTTTCAACAATTTCAACAGATTCTCGAAAATATCAATACCATCATCACTACTTATGGTGATGACAATAACCATATAAATGATTTTATAGTAAGGAGCTCAACTTTATTATTTTAATGCAAACTATATTGATTATGAATTTCTTAATAACGCATTTAGATGGTCATTGTTTCGTTTAGATCGATCCAACAAAAAATGCAGTTATTTTCGGTTCTACTCCTCATGGTTGGGCTTTTACGATAAAACAATTCGCCGATATTTATGCATCAAAATATGGTATTGAAAAGGATAAATTAATGGAACAATTGTGGGGTGATCATTTCTTCTCACCGATGACAAAGAAATGGTCAACAATTCCAGAAAAAGGTAAATTACATATTTTCAACACTATATGGAAATAAATTCATTCCTAATGAAAAATTAGGCTCTGGTCGAGGTTTTTGTCAATTTGTTCTTAATCCTATTAGCCAATTGTTCAAAGCTATAATGGATTCAAGAAAAGATGAATTTATAAAATTATTTGAAGAACTCAATATAGAATTACAAGATGAATTGAGTAAAGATGGTATATTACCACTAAAACTTGTTATGAAAAAATGGTTACCTGTTGACGATATTCTACTTACAACGATGGTTATTCATTTACCATCACCAGTTGTTGCACAAAAATATCGAACTGAACTTCTTTATGCGGGTATATTTAAGAAAAATTTAATAATCTCCTAAGAGAGACGAGTAACAAAATGAATGAATGTTTAGGTCCGCATGACGATGATGTATTTTTGAGTATTCAATCATGTGATTCAAACGGTCCATTAATGATTTACATTTCAAAAATAATACCGACATTGAATAAATCTCATTACTATGCATTTGGTCGTGTTTTTTCGGGTGTTGTTAAGTCAAATGAACATGTCCGTATATTGGGTCCTAATTATGTACCAGGCACAAGAGAAGATCTCTATATTAAAAATATTCAACTGTATAAAATATGAACTATTCACCCAACATGGATAGTTGATTATAAAAGAATTTTTCACGAGAATTATATGATCTTGATTTAGAATAGTTGTATTGATGGGTCAATCTATTCAACAAATTGACGATTTATCATGTGGTAATATCTGTTGTCTCATCGGTATTCATCGATATTTAGTTAGAACTGGTACAATTACAACATCTGAGCATGCACAAAGCATTTGTGTTAGTAGTCGAGTTGCTGATTTCAGTGAAAAAGTTTCATTTGTTGAAATATTTTAGATGTTGAAAACTAATATCAATCCTATCGTATATGTTGCTGTGGAACCAACTAATCCAGCTGATCTACCAAAATTAGTGGAAGGTATGAAACGTTTAGTTCAAGTAGATCCTCTTGTTCAAGTAAAAATGATTACCTTTTCCAAATAGAATTCTGTATGGAATTATTTTAGTGCTATACTGAACAGTCCGGTGAATATATTACAGCCTGTGTTGATGAACTACATTTGGAAAATTGCTTAGAAGATTTGGAAAGAAACTATGCTTGTATTCCGATTAAAGTTTCTGATCCTGCGACATCGTATCGTGAAACTGTATCGAAAGAATCCGACAGAATGTGTTTAGCGAAATCTCCTAATAAACACAATCGAATCTATTTAAAAGCTCAGCCTATGCCTAATGGTAAGAATATATGCATATATGTTATCATTAGATTTCGAGAAAATTATTAGTCAATAAATACTCTAGGTTTACCAGAAGATATTGAAAATGGTCAAATAACATCAAATCAAGAAATAAAAGCACGTACACGTTATTTATATGAAAAATATGGTTATGATATAATCGAAGCACGTAAAATTTGATGTTTTGAACCGGAGCAAACTGGACCGAACTTTTTAATCGATTCTACTATAAGAATACAATATCTCAATGAAATAAAAGATTATTGCGTTAGTGCATTTCAATGGGCTACAAAAGAAGGTGTACTCGTTGAAGAAAATGTTCGAGGTGTTCGTTTCGATATTCATGATGTATATATTAGTGATGCGATACATCGTGATGCTGGACAAATTATTCCAACGATGCGTCGTGTTCTTTATGGATCGATGCTTACTGCTAGTTCAAGACTTGTTGAACCAATTTATTTATATGAAATTCAGGTATGTTTACAATACGTCGAAATCCTTATCTCTTTCAAGCTTTAATAGTTGCTTTAGTATCCACAAGTGATCGCTGATCATATTTATAGTGTGCTAAACCGTCCTTAGGGTTATATTTCTGAAGAACGTCAAATATTTGGAACATCAACATACGTCGCTAAAGCTTACCTACCGGTCAGCGAGTCTCTTAGTATGAGAATCATTTGTATCTTTTTTTTCATGCATACTTAGTTTGTTTTTGTAGACTTTACTGATGATCTTTGTTCGAATGCTGATGGTCAAGCAGTTGCCCGATGTGTATTTCATCATTGGCACATTTCAGATGAAGATCCACTTGATGAATCAACTAGAATTCGGCAAGTTGTTAAGAGTATTCGAAGATGTAAAGGACTGAAAGAAGATATTCCATCTACAAATGATTATCTTGATAAATTATAAACAATTTAATTGTTTTTCGAAAAACGAAATTTGACAAAATCTCATTGTCAGTCATTTCTATAGTCCGTTATCTCTCAATAATCACTGAAATGATCAATTTTAGAACCAGTGCCAAACAAAAAAAAATATCAATACTTTAATGCAAAAGTTTTACAGAAGTGTAACAAGAAAAAATATGAAGAAAAAAATAATCTTTAGAATGATCTTGTAAATACTAGATAGGAAGGGTGTGGGTGTGGGTGTAGGTGTGGGTGGGTATGGGTGTGGGGTGTGGGTGTGGGTGTGGGTGTGGGTGTGTGGGTGTGGATGTGGGTGTGTGGGTGTGGATGTGGGTGTGGGTGTGGGTGTGGATGTGGATGTGGGTGTGAGTATTGTCTGAAGAAAAGAACAACACCCACATCCATACCCACACACACCCACACCCACACCCACACACTCACACCCAAGATAAATGGAAACGTATTACTATTTGAGCTACAGTTAATTCTATGTATGTGTTGTTTTGAAGAACCTATAGATATAACTATAGTAATAACAATTTTCTAATCAACAGTTGTTATTCAGTCATTAGAATCTATTCATGTTTTTGACTAATATTTTGAATGCCGGAAAAATGATTTTAAATATTTAATAGCATTGTTAAAAACACCTTGTATCAGTCAGAAGCATGAAAACCCTTTATTATTTACATTAAATTCTTATTCTCTTGGAAACGAACATTCAATTTGTCTTATTATTGGAATTAACATATCATCTCATGGTGAAAAAAACTTCTTAATCATTGATGTTGTCAGTTGAATCTGAGATCAGGTTTTCAAATTATCTGATTTTCGTTAGTGTCAAACTCTAGAATTATTATTCGAGTGATAATTTTTTACAAAAAAATCTAATGATACAACGGGCGTATGGTGTAGTGGAAGCGCTCGAGTCTACGGAACTCGGAACCCTGGTTCGATCCCAGGTACGCTCATTTTCTTACTTTTTCTTGTCGTTCTTTCTTCATTGTATATATCCAAAATTACAACAGAATGGAAGTAAAAAAAGATGAAAATAAATTAATAAACAAATGATGTGCCGTTGATTATAGGTTGTCTTCTGTAAATTGAAACAATTTGAAATATTTTCAATCGGTTATTGAAAGATGCACGTTTGATTTTTGTCTTAATTACATTTTCCTCTTTATCGAATCGTTCGTGTTAAATAAAGCATATTGACTGTGACTATTCAGAGTACTCAGAAGAGATAAACATCTGTGAACAAATGAAATGACAATAGATAGATCATCCTTTCTACGATTACATGCTTTACTTTCTCTTTTCACTCAGGAGCTTCATAAACTTCATTGTCTCACCATGAATTTCTTTGTATCCATTGTAATTTCACTTACTTTCTTCATTTAGAAAAAAGAAATAGCTTTGCTTTCGGTACTCTATAGCTAAGAATAGAACAACGAAATTTTATTTATACGGGAAAAACAACGAAACATATTACATAAAAAACAAACAACGGAACATATAATTATGAATATGCTAATATCTACTTCTAATAAAACGATGTATGTTGATTCTATTAATAGTTTTAAGCAAAATCATAAAATATTTCAGAACTCGATTCAATAGTGAAGGTGCCGTTCGCATTTCTTCGAACATTCTAACATCTGAGTGCAATCCTTCCGTTTCAACTGTAAAAGCTTCCATGAGTCGCTGACCAAGCTCTACGCTTGGAATAAAAATCTCGAATGGCTCTTTCGTACTGTAGATCACAAGTTTGTCCTGCTGGACTGTTACAGCAATTCCCTGCAGAAGTGCGAACAGGTATAGTACAGATACATATTCCAATTTTTTAGTCTTAAAATAGGTGTTAATAAGTTTCTCAAATGATAGGTTTTTGAAGCAAATTGATCCGTGCTTAGACAAGCAAAGGTCTGAGATTAGTTGAGGATCTAATTGTGTCAAGTCAAACGATGAAGTGATCATATTACTAACTGCCTCTGCTGCTGCTTTAGAAATAACATAATGATCCTTATTAATTATACCAATAAGATCACTAATTATTTTATTCGTCGCTCTTTTTCTACTGATATTCCCAAGTGCTTCACAGGTATGATATCTAACATATCCATTCTCATCTCCTGATGCATTAAGGAGCTTGCTTATCACTTCATTCGTCACTACTTTGTCGCCGATCTGCCCAAGAGCTTTACAGGCACCCGCTCTGACATCCTTTTGCACATCGTCTAGCGCTGTTACTAGTCCGTTGATCACTTCATTTGTCATCTCTATATCGCCGAAATCTGCGAGAGTATAACAAGCACTACTTCGGACAGCTGTATCCTGATCTTTTAATGCATTGACTACTTTGTCGATCACTACCCGACTCGCTGCCTTTTTACCCATCTTTCCAAGAATATACAGCGCACCCTCTCGGACATTCTTACTCTCATCTCCTAGTGCATCCACTAGCTTCTCGATCACTTTGTCCGTCCATGCTTTTTCACCTACCATTTCTAGAGATTCACATGCACTCACTCTGACCTTCTCATTCGTATCTCCTAGTGCATTCACAAGACTGCTAATTATTTCATTCTTTGCTGCTTTTACACACTTCATGCCAAGAGCTTTACATGCACTGTCTCTGACGAGTCCACTCTTATCTCTTAATGCCTTGATTAGTTTTCTAATTACCTCATCTGTTGCCGGTTCTTCACTCAAATTTCCCAGAGCTTCGCATGCATTTCTTCTGTTGTTCTCATCCTTACTGTCCAGTGCAGTGATTAGTTTTCTCATCACTTCATTTGTCACTACCTTTTCTCCCATATTTTCTAGAGCTTCACATGCACTTCTTCTGACAGATCCACTCTTATCTTCCAGTGCATTCACTAGTTCACTGATCACTTTATCTCTTGTCGCTTTTTTACCTATATTTCCCAGAGCTTCACATGCATAACTTCTAACATATTCATTCTCCTCTCCCAGTGCACTCAATAACGCGCTGATCACGTCATCTGTTACTGTTTTTTTTCCCATCTTTCCGAGTATATAGGCTGCACCGGCTTTGACATTCTCATTGCCATCTTTTAGTGCACTCACTAGCTTGCCAATCACTTCTGTTGTCGCTACTTTTTCACCTATATTTCCAAAAAAATAACGTACACGTGCTCTAACATGTTTATCTTCATGTCCTAATGTATTCACGAGCTTGTTGATCGTTTCATTCGTCACTGTGTTCACGCTCAATTTATCCAGAGTATAAGATGCACTCGCTCTGACACTCTCGTTCTCATCTTCTAGAGCATATACTAATTTGTCAATGATGACGTCATCCGTCACCGTCTTTTCACTCATCATTCCGAGCGCATAAGATGCACCCGCTCTCACATATGCGTCTTTATCTCCTAGTGCATCCACTAACGTGCTGATCACTTCGTCGGTCGTTGCTTTTTCGCTCATACTTCCGAGAGCCAAACATACTTTGATTCTAACATCTGTATTTGTATCTTGCATTGATTTAACGATTGATTGAATCAGTTCAGTGGAAGGATTGGAAATCTTCAATTCAGAAATGAATAGAAGAACTTCTGATTTGATTTTCATCTCATCACTTTGAAGTAGGTTAATTAACATGTTGATAATTTTGCCAGTGCGAGTCAATAATGGTGCCCTTTGCAACGACTGCGATAAGTGTTTGCGGATAATTTTGTTCTCATGGTAGAAACTATATTGTATGTACTCTGTTATGCGTACTAACAGTTCATCATAGGGAGAAAAAATTAATCTGTTAGACATTGCTTCCAGACAGATGATTAAAAGCTGGATGTGTCTGATGCCAACTAAATCCATGGGTTCACTCAATACAGCATCCCAGAAAATGTTGGAGCAGGATTCGAGATCGTTGTCAGCAAGAAGACCAGACATGAAAGTAAATACTAATGTATAACGTTGATTGTATTTTTGATATTTAATAAATTCGATGGCTTGCTCACTAGAAGGTCTGTGAAGAGTATGAATCAAGTAGCGAGCAGCAAAGTATTCTTGAAAACTAAGATGGATAAAATAATGATCTTTGTCTGTCTCAATTTGCGTACCAGTTCCTTTTTTGTTAAAACTTTTTAGAATACCTAGATTAAGAACGTGTAGACAGTCTTGAAAAGAAACATTACTTTCCTTCAACGCCTTTCTCAGTAATGGTGGTTGTATCATGATGGTGTTATTCTTCATCGCATGGAAAGCTAGACTTTCTAAGAATGCTAATTCTTTTTGACAACGTTGATCAATCTCATCTTTAGATAACTGTAGAATTTGCTTATGTATTCGTGTTAAATATCGTCGACATAGCCATTCAGTCATGACATTATATAATGATATTATTGTTAAATCTTTTGTTTCTAATGAATCTTCGTTGCTCCAAATGCTGCAAATAACTTCTAGATTCACTGGTATATGAGCAACACCCCAAATGCTTCGATTGGTCTGTAAGTACTTTAATAATGCTTGGCTCTTGATAATGGCATTATCTAATTCATCTTCCATTTGATTAAAAAATTGTTCTACATATTCTTTAATATTTTCATCTTTAAAACCAGTTATTTCCATTTTCGCATCATATGATAATGTGTTCAGATACGGGCGAGATGTCACGATATGGTGCGGAGTGTTCAGTAATTGTTTTAATAAACATTTCAGATATGCTGGTATATTTTGTATTATTTCATCATATCCATCCAAAATCCATAAGGTTTTATTTGCGTCGAATACTGTCGTTAAAAGACTATCTTCCTTTTCAGATAGATTCATCAAGAGAACTTCTTTCTTCACCAGATCAATGAGAGAATAGCTCTGTCTAGATGGCAATGGAGGATAACGATCGGTGGTTAAACAACGTAACGGAATTAAAGCAAGCAATTTATACTCTGTCCAAAATGCACCTGTCGCCCATTTGTAAGCGACATATCGACAAAATGTTGACTTTCCGATACCAGCTCGACCAAACACGAGTACTTGTTTCCGTTGATTTAGGCATGTATTAAAAATGTCCTGGATGTTTATTGTAGATTTCATACCGTAGATCTCTTCGAAAGTGTTCATTATGGCATCACCATATTGTACGTCACGAAGTTGTTTTTCCGTTTCATCTTGTTCTTTGGTTGTTACTATCGCTAAATTAATGTAGCTTTGATGGATAGGAAATGATTTTGCCGGATTTAATATACGTTCGATACGACTATTTTGTTGATATTGTTGTTTTATGAATTCGAATAAGTAGTTTGATTCTCTACAAAAAAAAGAACACATCATTCTTGTCTTAACCCTTTCCTCATCACACAGTCGAGTCCTCTCTAGAAAGTTTCGAGACTGTTGCAAGTTTGAATATAGGTTACCAATGAGGGATGTAACAGAGGTTAAACTTATCCCATAATTTTTTCCTGACTACGTCACTAGTTTTACAATAACCTCGCAGTTCCTGTTCTATTAAGAAAAAATAATAAACAACTGCCTTTAAAACCATGAAACTACGATCGATCTTTATTTATTTTGCCATGGGCTTACCTTAAAGGGCTTATTTGTTCCAGATGAAGAGCGAAAAAACGATTTTCGTAATTGAGAGATCCATATCTGCGGCGCACATGAGTGCCAGGCATAAGAATAATTTCATGTTCATCTGGATTGACCGAATATTCGAAAATATCTCTACCGTCAAGAGCGTTAATAGCATACAAAGTGCCTTTGTCGCCTATAAATCCTTGAACGACATTGAGAGCCTTCGAACACGAGTTTATACTCCACCAAATGTGTTCATCATCGTCGACAAACGCCAGTGTATCATCAAAATTAACTCCTCGCCAAACAATATCCTTCACTAAGGGTAATTTTTTCAGAGCTGTTATGAACAGTTTTAAGAAAGGAAACCATGGTTTCACTTTCTCTCGATCTTCGTCTCGAAGTGCATTGTTGAGACAGGAGTAGAATGTACTTGGCATTGAATAAAGAAATATTGCTGCCGATTCATCGCGCGTTAATAAAGTTGAACGTCGATAACATTTCCTTTTAGCTCTTATCACGTGATCCGTTAAGTCAAGATTCGGTATAGTTATTTCTTCTAAAGCTTCTTCTAATGTCAGTACAGGTGAATCTTCATAACCAAATATTGGACTGCGATTGATCTGTTCAAATTCTACAGAATGATTGGTTACAAAACGATTATTTACCATAATTTCTAATTGTTCTTGTTATGTTCAGCGAGCATATAATCTATCTAAATGAAAGTAACATTAAGTTTTTCCTGCCAGAATTTTTCAACATTTTACAGTCATACAAAAGAAAATATTTTTTTTGCTGATATATGATCATGATGTAGGATTGGAAAGAATACTATGTATATAACAAATAAAATTCAGTAATTTTTTTGTCTACTCAGGCAGAAAAAAAAACAGAAGAATGGATGCATTTGTGTGCAAAAGCACACATGTAATTGCATGAAAAAGTTATTCTTTTCAGAATAAACAAATTTAAAATCATTTACTCTACCAGTTTACTTTTTCTAGCCAAAAAACTGTACAACTTTTCTGCTTAAAATGCCGATTTTTTCCTACGCATCCGACCCATAGTTATTCACTGAACAGAATCATCTACATCTTGCTAGTTTACTATACATGAGATCAAAGTTTTTTTTTCGAACAATGTGACGCAATCGTTTTATTAACTGAAAAGCTACCAAGAATCGATGATTATCCTAACCAACACTCTACTTGTGAATAGATGTGTAAGTCGACGCCTTGATCAGTGGCGGCTCAAAATAACCAGGCGCTTTTGTCAAAAATTTCGGCATCATTGAGAAATTCTGTAACAGAAAAGGAAAAAATAATAAATTCGAAAATTCTTAAGCCTCCCAGGGAATAAAATAATGAAAAAAAAGCCATGACTTTCATGAATTTTGCATCAAAAGTATGAACAAAATGGCATTTCTGATGATGAAACGGACATTTTCTTTCATGTTTTTCAATTTCATCGATGAAAATGTTTATTTTCATCGGTGACATTGCATGAATTTGATTTTTTTCAAAGTAATGGCATTATTTTGATGAAAATATTCATTTTCATCGATGAAATCGAAAAACATCAAAGAAAATGTCCGTTTCATCATCAGAAATGACATTTTTTTTCATTTTTTTATTCCCTGGGTGTTGTCATCGCTCACATACAAAATGTCTTGAATAATAACAAGTTTCATTATCTCAATATCTATCAGTTAAAATTATGATTGAATTTGAAGAAAGAGAATAATATGTAAAGAATTTGACTGGTTTCCATTATTTCAAAGAAATATAATTTAAACAGACAGAAAAGAATAAGAAAAGACGAGTATACTATAACGCGTTGAACGCTAAAAGATGAAATCATCATTATAGTCTCGCCGACAAAAGAAAAAAATAGTCAAAAGAAACCTCATTTATAAGAGAAACGTGTTCATCTCACACTACGTTGCCATGTGAAAAGAACTAGGTAAAAAAATTAAACCACAGAAAGAAAAAATTTATCATACGCTGATAAACTCAACCAATACAAACAAATGTGTTTTATCATGTTTGAAGATGACGTGAGTTTCTAGCGATGTAGTGTTGTACGAGAGAAAGAAAAAAAGGAATTTATATAGGACATTGAGAAATAATTAAGGTTTAGATGAAATCTGGCACGATTCTATTGCCATGCTGTTGATGTGAAAACAGTCCTGCTTTATATGTAGGTCACATTCTTCATATTAGTGTCAGTTTCCTTCCGTTAGAAAGTTTCGAAAATCAAATTAAAGGGATATCTCTCATCCTATGTTTCTTATCTATTCATTTAAAAAACGAAACGCAATGATCATGATCGAATATACGAGTCAGTTTCATTTTCTCAAGTGATATAAAACTCAATTGAAATTGAGTTTCACTCATAAAGTACCTAATGTTGAGAATGAAAATAGTTCAGTTCAATACTTTTTTCCTGTTGTCCTAGGATTGATTTCGATTTTTATTTCAACCAATGGCCAGCAATTATCAAAGAGCTTTGCTCCAATAAACAAAAACAATGAAGTGACAAGAGCTGATAATCCAAGTTTAGGAACAACAATTGTTAATACACAAATATTGACCATATTCAATTACAATAATAATCAAATTTATGTGTATAGTGCATTATCAAAAAAGTAACGTTCGTCGGTTCGACTTACTTGATCCTCGACTGTATAAGACAGAAGTGTATTCTGCATGTGGGTAGAGTCCTGCAGGGTAACCCTACCCTACCCTAATAGGGTAGGGTAAGAAAGCGTTTGAGTAGGGTAGGGTTAGGGTAAGAAAACGTTAGGGTAGGGTAGGGCTAGGGTAAGAAAGCGTAGGATAGGGTAGGGTGAGGGTGAGAAAGCGTTAGGGTAGGGTAGGGTTAGGGTAAGAAAGCGTAGGGTAGGGTAGGGTGAGAGTGACAAACGTTAGCGTAGAATATGGTAAAGGCGGTGCAACAAATATTTAGAATAGAACTAGAATGCCATTTATAGTACTAAGATTTTTCGGTCAACTAATTTCTATGACACTTGTGACATCTATCTGATTTAAAAGACTAAACAGCTAGCTCATTAAAATGTATATTGATTGGATGGAACAACGATAAGTGAGTGGACAATGGTTCATTGTTTATTTATTGTTTTCACGTTATACCTAACATAAAGGAAGAAATTGGCTGAATTTTAATTGTTTTGTTGTGTAACATTCGAGATATGTAATACAAAATGTCCACTAAATCATCTCGAAAAGATTTGGATGAAAATAAGAAACAAATATTGAATTTATTGAATGAAGGAAAATTAATTACAACAGAAGAAGCCCCATCTTCGTCGAATGGTGAATTTTAGTCCAGGCTCTTAAGAATACGACAAGCAAATGATACACATGCATTTAAACCTTTTGTTCAATGCAATATATGCAAACAAATCTTATCATATGAACCGAAAAACGGCACACATAGTCTTAGTCAACATGTTCACAATTGTTTAAAAAAAACAACAAGTTCAAAAACAACCAAGTCTATTCAAAAATATTTGAAAAAAGATCCAAGTGTATCTCTTGAAGATAAACAAAAGATTACAATTCCTTGTGCTAAATTTTGTGCATTTGATATGCAATCATTTAATACTGTGAAAGGTGATGGTTTTCAACAGCTATGCCAAACTGTAATTGAACTCGGATACAAATTTGGTGAACTAAAAGCTGATGTACCTTCTGCTACATTTGTTCTACCTGATCCTACAAATGTCTCAAGAAGAATCCAGTTCTTAGCAAATGAATATCGTCTTAAATTAATTCAAATATTGAAAGAAGATTTGAAAAACGTAAAACTTGTTGGTGTTTCATCTGATTTTTGGAAAAACTGCTATACGTCTGATAATTATTTGACCATTAATCTTCATTATACCAAAGATAAAAAGCCAATTACATTTATGTTAAGCACGTTGTTATTTATTGATTCAAAAACTGGTGATAATATTGTTCGAATGATGAAAAATGTTCTTATATCTTATGAAATTAATCCAGAAGAAATGCATATTATTTATTTAACAGAGAGTGGTCCAAATTTTGTTTGTGGCTTGAAAGATGAAGTTCATTTAAGATGCATATGTAAGTTAATGTAATAAATTTAATCTTAATATTTCTCGTTGTTTTAGGTCATGGACTAAATCTTGTACTACAATATTCTCTCGGTGAATAATGTCCAGTTGTTATTTCAATGATAAAGGCATGTAGTGAACTAGTGGTGCATTTCAAAAGATGTGAATTAAATGCTTCACTCTGAACATCACTTAAACAGCAATGTGAAACACGTTGGAATACTATTCATGAAATATTACAGTCAATAGAGTTCAATTTCAAACCAGTGAAAGAGATATTATTTAGTCGAAAAGAACATGATTTTTATATAGATAGAATTGATGAAGATTTACTAAAAGATTTAACAAAATTATTATCGTATTTCAAAATAGCTAGTGAACAATTGTCGTCTGATCAAGAACCAACATTACATCTGGTTCTGCCATGGATAAACAAGTTAAAAAGTTACTGTAAAATAAAAATTAATGATTCAGAAGCAATGAAACAAGTGAAGAAATTGATATTAGAACATATACAACAAAAGATTTGGTTAACTCAATTACACGAAATTGCCACATTTCTTCATCCATTGACGAAGAGTCTTTCGGTATGTTGCAAACTCATCCAAGAGAACTCTTATCCAAATTAGGTTTCCTTGAAAAAAAGTAAATTAAAGTTATTTTTAGGTTTGATCGGAAGATAATGTTATGAAAAATTTTTCATGCATTGTATTTTCTTTGCTTCGAATACGCATTAAACTCAAAATCTGAATCCAAATATGAAATATCTTTTATCTTGAAAAGAAAGACTTAGATATGCCAATAACTGAATATGATATTAGTTTCCTATAGAATATAGCCATCAAATACCCTAATTAAATTTTTAATATCTAATATGAGATCAAGAAACTGATGCGGCTATTGGTTGAAAAATAGAAGCTGAAATATTTGTTTTTTTGTCGTAGTCGTTCAGTCAATCTGAACGAGATCAAGACCATCAATCAACACGAGAAATGTTAAAAACTGTTGGCATTATTCAACCACAACAATCATCAATAATTATTATAAAAAAGACAACAGAAACTAAAGAAAAAAAATAGAAACGATATGAAATTTCGCAAGATGATCTTTTAATGGAATATGCAAATGAAGATGAACCTGCATCAGATGAAGATGATGAGTACGATGAAGTTTATAATTATACTAAAGCAAAATTGACTTTTCCTAAAGAAGAATCAGTATTACAATGGTGGAATAAATGGTCATTGAATTATCCACAACTTAGTGTATTAGCAAAATGGTTATTGGGAATACCAGCTAGTTCGGCTACCAGTGAACCCATTTTCAGCGCAAGTGGTAGAGTTTTGGAAGAAAGAAGGCAAAATTTAGGCAGTGATATAGTTAACGACATTTTATTTTTACGAAATTTTCGAAATATGTGATATATTTGTATTCGATTTTGTTTATGTGATATATTTGTATTTCATTGTGTTTATGTGATATATTTCTATTTCATTTTGTTTATCATTGAAAGTTAATAAACTATAATAAAATATAATGAAAAAATTTTTCATCCTAACACCCTTGAAAAGATAAAAATTTAAGGATATAGTAGGGTGGGATAGGGTTAGGGTATTAAAGTCATATGGTATGGTATGGTTAGGGTGCGAAGTCGTAGGGTAGGATAGGGGTTAGGGTGAAAAGTTGTAGGGTAGAGTAGGGCATAGGGCGCGAAAATTGCTTTAGGGTAGAGTTAGGGTACGAAAAAATGTTACCCTGCAGGACTCTACATGTAGGTATCGAAAGAATTGATCTATTAGCTTCATCACAATAACTGACTCAAACTTTGATTTCTTGAATCGCAAAAAGTCGAAGAAACTGATCGGCCTCTTTGAAAATTAGTTTAGGATAAACCTTGCTTTTCAACAAGAGATTGTAAAAGCTACCAATTATTTATCCAAGTGCACTTTAACTAATAAATATCGGAATCAAAATAAATGTTATACTATTACACACTAGTAACATGATGAAATAAGCTAATTTTAGTTGGTAATATATGCTCATACAGTAATTAAGAAACTTGATACTATAAGTCTTTTGTTTACCAGCAACATATGACTTTAAATGATTCATTGGTAATAATGAGAATGTGAAGGAATAGAAAAGCGTAAATAACTATTCAATATCATTTTTTATGTGATAAAAAACAAAAACTACAGCATTAAAATTCATCAACAAGAACTACCAAAATGAATAGAATATATGTAAGAAAAATGTGCGAGAAAAAGATGTAAAATGCAAAAAAATTAATGATAGAAATATAAAAAGTTTAACATGAACTACATATGTAAAATTATAGATGTTAAGAATCATATGCAAAATCATATCAAATGAGGGTGGTTTTGAAGGATAAGTTCCCGGACGAAAAGAATTACATATTCGGAATCAGCATGTTTAGTTACCCCCATCCCCGTTGAAATCTCGCCAGGGTACCTCTGCATCCAAGCAAAAAAATTAGCCTAAAAAGTTTCAATAGGAAAGCAAAAAAATTCACTCGCTTCGCACGGGGTTCGAACCCGTGTCGCGTTCAATACGCTGTATTAGCCACTCAACTATATGCAAACTACTTTCTTTTCTTCATTCTTATATGTGATTCCTTATATAATCACTAGTTTTTTCTGAATCTATTCTCAGTATCCTGTACATCGTCTCAAACCGAACTATTTTTTCGTAAATATAGATGATAGTCAATTGCTATTGGCAAATAGACAAATGAAATACCACAATGAAATATCATCTTTGTGGACAATGTCACTAAAATATTGATCCATCAATTCTTTAATATAATTTTACAAGCTAGTATCAAAAATAATATTAAAATTTATGATAAAAAATTGATAGATATCGTTTAAATTACATAGCGTAACAATCCTATCTAAAATACGACCCGCAGTATCATTCCAAATAATCAAATTTTGAATACCATAATACATTATAATTTCTATCATTCTTAATAATCGTTAGTGTGTGATGCCTATAAATATTAGTATTAAATCAAAGAGCAATTATGGCAATTCCAACATGTTGGATGATGACCAACACGATAATGGTTGTGTTGGTAATGATCTAGAGAAAAAACACTTTATAGTTGATGTATATGGTGTGGTCAAAATTATGATTTCGTACAACATAGTGTCAGTCTGAGTTAAAATTTTAATTTTGACTGGAGAAAATTGAAATTCTTGTTTTAATGCAAAGAAAAAGCTAAAGAAAAATAAATCGTTTTAGCAGTGATAACTTATTTATTTCAAAAAAATTACTAACAAGTATTATAAGAGTATGGGTGCAATAGAGGCCTTGTAGTTGTGTCAATTTATATTTACTTTCAATTTAATTAATGATTAAATTAAATCATCGGTAATTTAAATTTAAAATAAATTTAAACTATTTTTTTGCATAACTTAAATTGAAAAATTAATTTTAAACTATCATAATTTATATTTAAAATAAAACTATATTTTTTTTTATAATTGACATTTTAAATAAATTTAATGTTTTTTTTTGATAGTTTAAATTTAAAAATAAATTTAAATTGTCTTAAGCTAAATTTATTTCAAATATCAATACTAATAATTTAAATCTATTTTGAAATCAAAACTGAAAAAAATTTAATATATTCTAAAATTGATTACCGATGATTTAAATTTATTCCAGTTAATAGGAAAATGTCCATCCTAGGATCTTATTGCCTTCGTATACATCTACGTCTATATCCACACTCTTCAAAACCAAGCATCCTCACCCACATGCATACGCTTTAGTATCAAAATTTTCCTTTTTGTTTTCATTAAAAAAAAAGAATTTTAATTTTGACTATAACATTTATGTAAATATTATCGAAAAAAATTGTCGTTCACTATGATGACTCAATCGCAGTTTGATGGTTTTATTTTAACATATTATTACTTGTTTTTTTCATTGGTGATCTTGTGATTCTTGTTCGATTTTGATAAAGATAATTATAACGATTATTTTGTGCACATTGTTGACGATACTTGACATCACGTCGAAAACGAAGATCAACAGGCCAAGATCGATTATTTTGAATATTGCTTGGTACTGAACAACCTCTTGTTGAACTCTTACAATATTGATCATTACTATATTAATAAAGTAAAGAAAAGATATAGGCTCACTGATTGACATCAAAGAAACTGATTTCATCGATGAAGTAGCAGATAATGTCGGTGTTGTATTAGTACTTGGTGAACTGCAAAACGATGATGACAATGATGATGTTGGTTCGATGTGAAGAACTCTAACATACAAACGAAATCATCATATAATTTTTCTTTTTTTTTAGAAATTTTTTTTCTGAAAAAAAATAACTAAGTTGAAGAATTTTTTTTTAGTTTATTCTACTGAAGCTACTATTCGATTGAGTTTTACAAATAATCATTCGTGAATCTTAAGTGAGAAAGGTAGAAACTAAAGTGATCTTCTTCATTACATGGGTCATATCAACTTTATTTATTCAATGATAGATATTGTTAACAAGAAAAAATCATAGTTCCATATGGATATTCGAAAAAAGGAAAAAGTCAACAAATTCTGTATTAAACTGTATAAGATTGTAATCTAACCCATTGTTTGATAAATGGTCTAACAAAAAAGAGCTATTTTTTTTTTCGGTATGACATTTGTTACGAAAAGAATTTTTCCTTTCAAAATTTACCTTTACTCTATTCTATTTCTCGCGATGTTAAAATAAGATGCTTTAGAGCGTACTTGTTTATGTAGCCATTATTTATTGTGCTCTGTTTTTCTTGATGAAAAAAAATTGACGAGTGAACACCATCTTCACTTGACATTGATTCAATTGATGAATCAAAATAAATAGGAGAACAACCAACATCACGATTACAAGGCCATGGAGGACTAGCACCAGTAGCTGTGCTGATGAATTTTTCTTTCATCGACATGATAAAAATCTAAAGCAGAATACTTGCTTAAAATTATCCAATGAATTTTCGAATATAGTTGCTGAATTATGAAATTAAATTCAGTCTCTCATTAGGAAAGATGATAAACACGAACGATTTTCTTAAAATGTCACTAGCTATTTTTTCTTCTTCTGACACATAACAGACAGCCAGAATAAAGACGTCTATCGAAATAACGAACAAAATTCACGTGGCTCGAAGAGCAAGATAGCAAAACGTTTGAAAAGTTTCAATTGCTTTGAATAAATATAATTGTGTTCAAATGAAAAATTAGACAAAATAAAATACTTTAAAAATTCTTCTTTGGCAGAGGCTCAAAATAAGGTAATCTACAAATAAATATCATTGATCAAAGACAAAAATTTGAAAAAATTAAAACAGACACATCACTCAATAGACATGTTCAGTATCAATTGATAGCTAAGAAAAACAATATTTCAACATGGATGATTGAAAATCATCGAATACAAGATTAATTTTAGCTGCATCACTTAGGACAAAACGTGTCAGGTGTTGATTCAAATTAGAATAATATTCACTAATGATTTTTAGACCAAAATTATTTTTTGTGATTTCGTTCGTTTATACAAGAATAAACATAGATAAATCACTTTCATATTGAGTAAAAAATATCTTGATTTGATTCTTGATACTACCAACTGAGTTTGTTTCATTTTAAAACTGTAAGAATCTTAAACTTGCTTCAAAGAAAAGCATAATTATATAGAATATTTTAAAAAAACAGTCAATTTTTTCTTCTGATGAATATTTCATCTTAAATGAAAATCATTGCTTTTAATAATTCTTTCGTTGATAAACTCAAGTCAATGGTTTTCTTTCGCAAAGAGCTCACTCTTTTTTTTTCTTTTTCAAACAGCTGTGCATGTGCATGTCTGATATAAGCCTATTCAAACATAATATGGATAAACTTAATAATAAAACAAATGTTATTCTAGTGATCATAAGAATGACAATATCGCGACGTAACAAATATGAAAAATAATAAAAGTGTATTAAAATGTTTGTTGAATGATCAGATGACATTAACAGACGATGAAGGTCTTTGTCATAAAAAAACACATTTCTCTGTAGGATCGAATGGGCTATGTTATTTCTTGAACTTATTTTGAATCATTGCTCTCATGACAGCTCATTCACTGGAAAAATAATTTTATAGCTGTGTCATTTTTAATATTTCAACTTAAGACTAAATACAAAGAAAAACCAATTGATTCATTTCGATGCAATAACTTTCAATATCAGTGATTAACTTGTTCGATCAGAATCTAGATAGAAAAGAAAAGTTCGTATGCCTTGCTCTTCATGAAGATCAAAAAAGAAATCGAGAAATCAATGGCTGGTTTATGTAGACAAATAGCTTCTAACTTATGTGCCAAAAAAATTTTTTATTGCTATCGATTAATATAGTTGAATTTCATGTATTAAAGAAAAAGAAAGAAAAGAAAATGAAGGACTTATCATAGCTCAATAATCTGTATTCATAAAAAAAAGAATGTGTAAAAGAAATTTGAAAATTTGAATTAAAATTTTGATAATTTTTCGTTTTAGATAACTTGAATATTTGAGACTTTTTCTATCGCTATTCGATCGTATTCAATGAAAATAATGTTTTGTGAAAAACATATTGTTACTTATAGTTACTATAATAAAAACTATATCACAATAGAGCAATCATTTAACTCTTTGAAAGATCATCTACTTATGTTTTTCTCTCAAGTTTTTCTTTATTAATCTAATTGATTGACGATAGTTTTTAACATGAATATCCATTTGAATATGGAATCAACACAAAAACATAATCTTCATCAAAATATCACTAACCTTTTTTCTCCATTTGATATCAAAACATGTTCATTTGCACATGAAATGGCGCGATAATGAAAAAGAAGAGAAAGATTTCGTTATGTTTGAAACAGAAGATATTCGAACGAATTTCTGCTCAGATTTAATGTAATTATTGGAAAAATTAATTTTGTTATGACTCGAATCAAAATTCAAAAACGAATTCGACTAATTTTCAAACTTTTATTCTTTTTGTATCGCTTTTTCTGAATTTTGATACTGTTAACTAAAAAAAGAAAAGAATTCTTAAACACCTTTTTTCAATGCTACTTTTTTTACATCTGACACAAAATTCACTATTTTTTTCTCGAGTTGCATTATCTTTTCTATTTAGATGATGACAATCATAATGTTAATTTTTGAGATATTAACGTTTTAATACAGTTTCGTTTTCTTTAAAGTGCTTTCTGTTTCTCATCGTTTTATTACAACATGTGATGATTGCTTATTGTTCTTGCCTTCAGCGTGTGTGACGAGCACTATCGAATCGAAAAGCGCGAAAGGTTGATTCAAAAAATAAAAATTAAATTAAAATTTCTTAGCTTAGCCACTTTTGTTTAACACATCTAACATTTCAAATCCTTGTTATTAATTGTTATCAAAAAACAGTTTTACGTGATTGATCTCTCGATCTTAAATAAAAAGTAAGAAAAATAAATATTTTTCATATTGTTCTTATTTTGATAAAAACAATAATGAATAAATCATTGAAAATTGAAATCGATGTTTCAATGTACGAGTCTATTGATGCATTAAAAGACCCATCAGTAATAGATAAAATTGTAGGTGAAATCAATGAAATCCTACAGAAGAAAGGACAAAGAGCAAATAATAGTTCAATTGTTAAGTCGTATAAGAATGCAGTTTCACTTCTCCGTTGGAAGAAAAAGCAAATATCACCAGGTCTCTTGACTATTTATTTACCAACAAACGTTCTAGAATTTATTCAAGACACAGTTGTACCTAATGCTTCATCTGATGAAGATGTTTTGGAAACTAGTGTTGATAAAGACAGTATTGATAGTGAACTTGATTGCCAACTAATATCACCTGTTCCTGATGATTCTCACATCTCTTTTTGTATGGATAATGACATCTTGCATGTAAAAGTTTCGTTTGAATATCTTCATGATTATTTTAAACATTCTCTTTCTATGAATACTAAATCGTTAAATTTCGAGAAAATTCTAAATGACGTCTGTATGTATATTTTTATGGAACTGAAGTTTTCTGTTGATATGCGTGGATTGAAAAACGACATAAGTCGACAAATAGGTCATATTGTACAGTCAGCACGTCGATGTGCTGCTGGCAGAAGTATTATTAAAACTCTTCATTTGAGTGGAGTTTTTTCTCTAATTGTAAAATGCATCAGTCCTTTGAATAAAGTAGATGCAATAAGGGGATTCTCTCAATTTCGAAAAAATGTTTCTCTAGATCCAATTCTATTACATCGCACATCCAATGAGAAGAATGAAGTTGCGCAAATCTACCCATATTCGAATACAATCGATATTACTTTCAATAGAACCTGGGTAGAAAAAGCTTTATCGATATTTGATTTAGTTGGAATAGTTGATATTGATGATCTTTCTAGTCTTATTAAAGAATGCACTACTATATACAATTTGAATTTAGACTATCAAAAACTTGTACAAATAATAAAAACAGAATTCTTATGTGTTCGTACAGAATCTAATTATAGCCCAAACTTTTTCACTGTTCTCTTGAGATATACACAGTCGAATAACACAGATAAAGATCATGATCAGATTACTATCGATAATTATCCATCTTTTTCTGAAGTTGAAATTGATAATATTATAGGTCGTACCTATATTACACGTGGTTTAAAACGTTCTTACGTAGAAGATTCTGTTTTAGTTGAGCCCAATCGAAATACGTCCCGAAGAATTAAAAAAATAAAAGATAAGCGAGATTTGTTACACCTTAAAGACACATACCATCTCACAGATTGTGCATTCAATGCTATTTTTAATTTCATTCAAAGCAGAAAGAACCTTTTTTCCTTAACAGAAATCCAACGACTACGGAAAGAAACGAATTCGAAATTTCCGATCTTTTTTACGACAACAAGCGCATACGTCAAATTTGAGTATGCTGTACGCACAGCTATTGTCGTTGCCAGACAGCACGAACCGAAGCTTCAGAAACTTGAAACGCTTAATATGCGTTTCAATATGGATGGTACTTTGATAGGAAATAAACAAATAGTAGCTATTTCTAATAACTGCATTGAAGGTGGTCATGAATGTCAAATGGCAAAAAAAATCTTGTGTCTCTAGATTTTTTTGAAGTACAAAAAGAAAATACAGAATTATTGCAAAAAACTTTACCAGTAGAATTTATTAATGATATAAATCTGTAAAACGAGTTTCTTTAGGTGAGAAAGATATCGATATTCATATCCAACTAGGAGGTGATTTAATGAATGCAGTCAATGTTTTTGGACTTGCCGGTTTTAGTTCGAATTATCCATGTATCTTCTGCACACAGCATAAGGACGATCTTCATGTAACTGAAGATACAGCATATGATAAAATCATATCTGAAGGAAAAGGAAAAAACAAGGTAACGACCACTGTTCATGTAGGCCCTACTTCATACCATGATATAACTAAGAAAGCTCGATCTCTTGTTGAATAAACATTCTGCTTAGGAAAAAAGAGCAATGAGTTAGGATATAAATGTGAACCTCTTTTTGGAGATCTGTTCGACTATCAAGATTATTGCATTGACACATTGCATCTGAAACTACGTATTTTTGACGTGATTTTGAAAGATATTTTATCTTATGCTTCTCGTACCGGTAAATATGGAAATGAGCACTTAGCAATCATTGAACAGAAAATTAAAATTCTTAACCAGCATTGCGATAAAACAGTGGGCAAGCGTTTTTTCTTTCAAATAGATTCAGATGACAAAAATAAAACGATTGCTTCTCATGGGAAACTTTCTGGTCATCTTCAAGATCTTTTTTTCGTTGATAGCTTTTCCTATAATGATATACTAAGTGATGACATCGGTGAATCAGCTCGATTAGTTGTTAATAAATTTAAAGAAATTCTTAATGAGCTTAATCATAATACTATAAGACGAAAACGTGTTCTCAAGCGTTTATCTCTCGAGTTTGTAAAAGAATTTCGTCAAAGTGGTCTACGAACAACTGTTACTCCATACATTCACATAATAGGGAACCATTTATTTGAGTTTGATGAATTCAATAATCTTGGAGACTATAACATGCAAGGAGTAGAGAAAAATAATGATGTGCTTTCTCATCTTTATTTTTCATCTACGAATCCTGCGAAAAATCCGCTTCTAACTATGCTTCAAAAATTATATCGAATGGTCGAGATGAATTTTCAAGATGAAAAAGAAAGCGAAGCCATGGCTAAGTTTGCTCGTACAGGTGTATACGATTTTGTAGAAGAGGATATAAGTGAATCCGATTCCGATGTCGAAAGTGACACAATCATCTGTCATGAGAACCAAAATGGTACAGAAACTGAAGATGAATGTGAAGGGTGTGGGTGCGGGTGCGGGTGTCAATAAACAGAACATGCTCACGCACATGCACACCCACACCTACACCCTCTCCAAATAAGAGCCGTAGCAAATTGTGTTGATTCACCAATATTTTTCATTGTTTCTGCAATTACAGGAAGAAGCTTCATCTTTCCTGTCGTTCCAGAACTTGTAGAAAAATAGATGAGCTTTTCCGACGAAAGTAAATTCTTCTCTTCACTGAAAGCCATTCGATCGATATAATCATGATAATCATCCTATGTTGTCAATGAAGCTTTCTCTCGAAACCCATCGATTAATACATATCCTTTGTCTTCAGAAGCAGTATCATATGTCGACAAGATTGTACACAAATGATTCTTTTGAAGAATTTTTTCCAATAATTCATTGTTTGTTGTTTGCAGATTGCATAGTGAACCTTGATAATACGATACGAATGCATCAGTGTTCGATTCTTGAGAATTTGATGCATCTATTTTTCAAGTTGAATTTGATTATAAAGAGAATTGACAGCAATGGAAACAATACTAAGATAAATATTAACTCTTTTTTATACAGACCGTGTAATTTTAAGGTGGTAGGAGAAAGAGAAATGATAAAAAAAACGATAGAGAACAAAAAAGATAGTTCATCATCTCGATAAAGTCCATGTGAGTTTTAGTACGTGGTAAATAAAAGATGCTACAATGACCTCCTACTTTTATTTTTTATTCTGTCGAACGTCATTCCA